GCTTCGTTCTACTTGTGCACTGACCCGGAGCAGCCTGCAATGATGCTTGTCCGCGCAAGCGTCCACACCCATGCACTCCCCAGCCCCCAAGCCACGTCGTCTCACTCCCCTCCATCTTCCCTCCCCCACCCATGCGCCTCCCGTCTCACTCCCCTCCATCTTCCCTCCCCAGCCCCTGGCGTACTTCTAGGGCTCCGTCCGACTCTGCGCCTTGCCCACATCGATGCCGCAACCGCTTTTGCTGTCGCGCAGCGCGTCGCTCCGTGTCGCACTTTCGCGGGAGCATGGCGAAAGTAGGTAGCCCATGACTCATAACTGCACCATTTTCTGGAATAGTGTTTTTTTCTGCGCGGGCGGGGGGTGAACCCACCCGCACTCCCCGCTCCGGGGTTGCATGTTACACCACGCGGCCCTAGTAAATAAGATGCCTTAGGAGCAAAACGAGGCACAAAAATCAGTTTGACCAAGCAGACGGGGAACCTTGAGCGGAAGTTGGATACGCTCAACAAGAATCTCAGGTCTGCAAGACTGGGACTGTGTCAGGTGGGCCAAGGGCAAGAAATGCCTGCCGAAACAGCAAGCATTCCAGACATCCTCTTCTAAGCGTACAAAGGCCTCCCAGACCCAAAACCTACCAGCGCGACTGGGGCGAGATGCGAAGTCAAAGCCGAAGGTGGGGCCCAAGAAGGGTGAGAAGAAGAGGACCCGAGCCTTCCTTTTGGCTGCCTTCTTGGCCAAGAGAATATTGGTCCCAACAGTGCCCAGACCTGTGCGCCCCCCCCGTTGGCCTATATAGGATTAATCAGCTCGACCGGGCCACTGACCATACAACTGTCTTCCAACAAACTTGAGCTGAGATTTTGTCGGAGCAACTTCTCTTTTGGTGATGGTGGTAGCAGCCCAGCGAGCCGCCGCTGCGCTGGACGCCCGCAAAGGGCAAATCTATGACAACCTGGAGAGCTGGCGGTCAAGCCGCCAAGCACGATGAGATTCAGGGCTGCGCTTTTCTCCAGACAGTGCGGTAACGCTAGGGTTCTGACAGTGTTTGTTAAGACCGGGTGTCTGATCGGAAGTTTTCGCGCAACCGCCGGCGGCTAATTCGCTGCTATTTACAGCCCATTCCTTCACCTTGGGATCTTCGAAGTGCATTTCGACTGCGCAGGCTCGCAGAAATTGGTAGGCCCGAGCGCATGCTCTTCTCGACTCCGCTCTCGTTGCATTTTCGGACTGTTCGTGGCAGGCGCTATGGCAAAGTCGGCTTGTTGTGACAGGCGCAGGAGATGGGATCGGCTTTACTTCAATGCCCAGACCTCGTGGCAGGCGCACCGCTCTGGTTTCGTGGAAGGCGCAGTGAATCATGACTTTGGGACACGCGGCTCTTGTTCAGACATCGGAGGAAGTCTCGGGCAAAAGCTGCGTTTTGGCAGTGCAGATTTCGTGCCAAGCACAGCGCTTTGTGGACCCTGAAATGCAGATTTTGTGGCAGACGCAGCCCTTTGTGGACCTTGCAGCCCTTTGTGAACCTTGCAGTGCAGACTATTCCGTGGCGGCTCTCTCATTTGTCCTCTCATGTGCGCCCTTATGTGCTCCGGCTGCGCGCTCTCATTTGTGCTCTCCAGACCTCCAGCCCTAGATCTCTAGACACCTCTCTCCGACTCCAGACTCTGGACGCACCTTCAATTCGCAGGCCATCATCATCACCATGACCCCCACCATCACCACCATCACCAACCATCATCATCACCATCACCTGTCTCTGGAGCCCAATAGGTTAGATCTCTAAACCTTTTGCTTCTACACCTCTGGACCTTAGACCTTTAGACACGCTGGTTGGCGTCTCTTGCCGGGATAATATGTTAAGAGTGGGACACCCTGTAGAGTGGTTACAGAGCTTCACCTGCCACAGTCGCGCCTTGCACTTGTCACCTTCGGGCTTCGGGAGGGCCCCGAAACGATCCGCACCCGAGCTCCGTTCCACAGGACCGCCTCGTCGCCATCGCCCAAGATCAGGTCGGGGCCGAACGGAGCGTTTCGGGAGCACCACGGGTGCGAGCACCAGCGGCAGATGGACGAGGATCAGCCTGGGGGCTGCGAAAAAATCAGAAACGGAATCGGGAGAAAAACGGATGATCCATACGGGCCATCCATTCAAGAGGTTGCGCGTTGTCTTTTTTTTCAGCTGTTGTTTTTTCTCATTTTGGAACAGACCAAGGGTCACACCAAAAGAGTTCAACCTTTACCTTGAGGTTTTCGGGTGAAGGGATGTTTGTGTGAACTGGGTGAATGTCCACTTCTGGGATTTTGTGTTTCCTGGTAAGTTACGAGCAAATCCAAGTTATGCAGATGTTTTTTCCTGGCTGTGACGTCAATGTTTTTTTCGGGGCACCTGTGTCTTCAATTTCTCGAGTTTCAGGCCAATGGTGATTCACTGTAGCTCCGACACACGACATCGAACGAGGATTTGCCTGTTCCAAAAATGGACGGATCATCTCCCTCGGGCAGGAAAGAAGTGCCATCGCCCAAAATCATCACGAGGCGCAGCAAATGGCCATTTAGTTGCGACTGTCAAAGAGCGAGGGGTTCCAGTGTGTGTGTCTGTGGGGGGGGTGTTTTGGATTTGGCGAGAATGCTTTCTTCATGGATCGCTCTAGCGTGGATGGCGGCTGCGACCAGCTATGCTACTGAGACTCCCTGGAATCATCATAGGAAGTGATGTTCATCACCGTGTCATACCGTGTCCTTACAGGGCCTGGAGCGTTCTCCGTCGTTTTTCTCCATGAGACTTCCAGGGAGTGTAAGACGACACCAATGGCCCGGCATGGGTGGAGTGGTGGGCTGACGAATCCGGTGACTTCTGAGACTCCTTGCGACTCCCCCCGTGAAACGGACGTGCAATGGCCCGAGACGATCCGGTTTTACGGACGGTTTCAAGTGGACGTCTATGGCCCCCATATGGCCCAGGAACTGCAGCGCTGTGATGATTTCGATGGGTTTCTGCTCACATGGTCGATCATCCCTCATGTGCTTTTGTGAAGGAAATGCGATCATTCCCCACCAGACACTTGGACCAGTGATACATCCCCCAAAACAGGGTCAGTCTGTCGAGCCCTACGGCCCTACGGTCCAGTCTCCGAGGTCACTGACCTCCTGGATTCGTCGTGTTTTATAGCACGTCACCAGCTGTTCCAAAGGTAAGGTTTCTAGTCCCATTCAGGGCTCGTGGATGTGTGACAGGGGCACCCCTATCCGTCCTCCAAGTGTAGCACCGACGTCCTCCATGGAACGGTTGATATGACATGATACGAACGTCCATTTCATGAGATCCGTGGACCTTTCTCGTGGTTCTTTTTGTCGGCAGCTGAGACCCGCGGCCGTTGAAATGGGACGTGGATGCTTTTTAACACGTCCGTTGCGTGGTTTCAGCTGTGCTGGTGACGTCGTTTCTGGTCTCCAACAGCTCAACAGACCCAACAGATCAAGTGTCTTGAAGAAATCTACCAATACCCCTCGCTGCCAGGTCTTTAGTTGAGGGTTGGTTAGACCTTTTCAATCGATCTGGACCTGTAGAGGCGGGTCCTTTTTTGTCCCCGGGGTGTGAAGTAGTGAGACCGGTCACTGGGCGCCGGACTGCTCCGCCGAGCGGCGGGGTGTGCATGGGTGTGCTCCAGTGAACCAACTTCGGCGATTTCAAAGAGGCTGTCTGAATTTCTTTGGATCACTTATGATCACTTGTCCTTGAACCCAGAAAAAGAAACAAGAAACCTCATTGAAACCTCAGCGGATTCGGAGAAGTGTTCCAAATGGCGCAGGCAAATGAATGAGGTGCCAAGCATTCTCAAGTCGGAGGTCAAGGTGGCCACCATGAGGCAGATGGGGTAGAAGTTGTGCTGAGAGTTCTGGGGCGTTCTGGTTTTGTACTCGGTGCTTCTCCGCCATTCACGGAGGAAATTGCAGCCAAGTGTGATTCACGGTTGCTACTCCAGTGTGGTCTGCGGGGCGTTCTGGTGGTTCCAGCTGGTGCAGGAGTTCTTCGATTTTGCCGGTCGGGTCTGAGGTGTTCGACACAAATAAAGGACATCTCTTCACAGAAAAAGAAGGAGGGTTGTACAATGTTGTACACGTGGCCCGAAAAAATTGGAAATACCCGGACACACCACAGGTTGGCTGATTTTCTGAAAGACCGCTGCGGTCAACGGTGCTACCCCCAAAAAACCGCCACTGCCTGGCTGCTTTTGAGCATGAGTCCTCCTTGCGCCGCCGCGGCGTCTTGCAGAGGCTGCCTGGAGTCAGCCCATCAGAAGCTTTGCAGAGGTCCAAGCTCCGTGCGGAGGGGAGGGAGGGCTGTTAAAGTAAGGGCCCTGATAGTTCTTAGGCGTTAAAGAATGTTAAAGACATATCCTTCATTCAGACTTTTGTTTAGGGCAGCTGTAGCAGCTACAGGGAGGTTGCCGCTCGGCTTTTGTCGCGTGAGGTGGGGCTGCACGATGCCCAGTTCTTCCCCCCAAAACGGGGTGGCTCCGAGAGGGAAGCGCCAACAAACTGGTGTTCTTCAGAAGATCAGCTCGGTCTTCCAATATTTGAAGTCCAATCCAAATCGAGAGGTGAAAGGTCCCTTCTGGAAAATCATTCTGAAAGTGTGCTTGAGAGTAGTTAGTATAAGATTGATGCTCACTGCAGCTTCTGTTTATTTGCTTTTGGGGTGTGTGGTTCTGCTTTTGTACGTTTGAAGCCCAAGCACAAAAGCACTAGTGGGCAGAAGGCCGAAGTGCAACACCAAAGGTTAGCTGTCCGACGACGGAGAGTCTCCTCTTGGTCCAAAAGATGGTTGTTACTATATAGCAAATTAGGTTGGAGATGGTTGGAGGCCATCGTTAGTGGGTAAGAAGCTACTAATAGCGATGCACTTGTTACTAGTAGCGACGCACTTAGCGACTAGTAGCTTCTTGCAGGTGGAGAGGAGAGACTGCGAAATTGTCTCGGACTGCGAAAGTCTCCGATCAGAGCCTCGTGGACCCGCTGTGCTACTCAGCGATGCACTCCTCGCTTAGCTCCAGTGCCATATCCACCTCAGCAGGAGTTCTTCGACTCTCTGCCAAAGGCGAGTCGAAGTCAAAGGAGCGAGATCTGGCTCAGCTCGAAGATGTTAAGAATGATGGCTCAAACTAGCCAAAGGAACCTAATAGCGATGGCCTCCACAGAGATTGACCAATGATTGTCGACTGAAACAGTGAGGAAGGTTCTCCGGAGTAGGATCCCTGACGGACAGCTTTTGCGATCCCGTTGGGTGCGAAGACGTGGAAGACAGACTGAAGCCGCGGCCACTGGTCAAACCAAGGCGAAAGCTCGTCTGGTGAAATTGGGGTACAAAGACCCTCATTTGGACAGCCTGCCAAGGGATTCACCAACAGTGGGTCGTGATTCACGTACGTTCGCCGTGGAAAGGAGCAGTCGATCTTTGCTGTGTTCAAGGAGGTTTGAATCGCTGCGTCAGCAAGCGCGAAATGAGGGCGGAGCACTGGTCCAGCACTGAAGCCGCATGCCTTGGTCCAGCGCTTCTCTGACGCTGCTTGGCTTTGGGCGCCGCACGCCCGCCTTCACGCGGCCGAAGCGATCAGACGGACCATCGCCTTCAGCGGCGCAATCGATCCATCGATTGGAGAGGTGGACCTTAAATTGAGACAACGAGAACACGATGAACCCTGACGAGAGATAGGGTTTATCACTATGTTTCACCATACATGTGGATCATGTGGCTGAAATGGTGTGCCGGTCATGCTCTGATGTTGTCCCGGCCATCAGGTCCTGTTGTGCTGGTTTCCCTGTCCTGTTGTGGCGTCCCGGTCCTGCTGTTCTGACGGTGGCTGTTCTCATGCTTTGTGTCCAGGATTGACAGTCGCTATGCAAGTCAGTGAGGGGTATTTGATGCTCACTGCAGCTTTCCGACTTCTGATTTGTTTGCTTTTGGGATGTACTGTTCTTCTTTTGTACGTTTGAAGCCCAAGCACGATTCAAGCACTTCCAAGTGTGCTCTTCGGCCGCAGGAAGTGCACCGCCAAAGAAAATGGCTTCGGTTCTGAAATGCCAAGGCCCGGCTCACCCAGAGCGACCCACTTGGTCGCTGGTGGCATCTGTCGAAGAGATGGGCAATGGGCTGGCTCAGAACTCGGTGATGTTGCGAAGCGAAGAGCAAACTTCGGAGTCCTACAATTACAAGTTGCGAGAACTGGGCGAGTGCTCGGTGGCAAAGCTGGTCTCGGCGGCATGTTGACCACCAACCGAGCACATGTTGACCACTAAGATGGGTTTTCTCCATGTCACTTGGTATTGGTTTCTCTTAACATGTTCCTTGCAAACGGCCTTCTCCCAAGACTTCAGCAACTCTTCCCTCCCACTGCTGCGAGCCAGGTCCCCCAAGTCCTCCCAGGTGTGCGTTTCCAATATTTATGTTCATATTGTTTCATCAGAATTGGACAGCCCCAAAAGAAATCATCTACGTTTTTGCATGACCAAGTCCAGAAAAATGAGATCATTGACCTGTAGTAGGGAGATCGATGTTCCAAAAATCCTTGAAAAAGACATGTGCCTACATGTGCCATGTGTCCATTTGGAGACTGTCACCGTCCAGGCCAGTGACTGGCAGCACCAACGCAGCTCGGAGAGAGACGCCCCCCCACCAGTGTCCGGGCATGGCAGACACAACCCGTTCGGCCCGAACCCTTTGGAGGGGTCGAACGTTTCAATACGCTCTGAAGGGGAGGGGTATAGGAGGGTTCTCACCAATCCCTAGGTTTTGAGGGACCGGAAAAGGGCTGTAAAGGGAGCGTTTGGGATATGCATGCATCCGTACTTCCGGGGTCACATCCAATGGTTTTTGTGCCAACAGTTGTGGCTCAGAATGCTGGGACTAGTTGAATTTCCACCCCTCAGTGAGAGAGCTTTGCCAATTCTCCAGCTCGGCGACCTCAGTCTCGGTCCTCCACCACCAACCAGAGCTTCTTTGCTTACGGGACCAACCTCCACCGGACCGACCGAGTGCGCCTGCCGCTTGGGCATTCTGAAGCCCAGATGGATAAGAGTCCCGCGCGAGCCGTGTACGGATGGTTCTTTGCAGCCGATGAAACGGGGGCATCTTCAGTGACCCGAACCGATGAAGTCAGTCAAAATCGTGATCAGATGAATCAGATGTTTTGTGTTTCTCCTCTAAATCGATCCTCGGTCCACCGTTGACCTTTTGGTCGACCACGCTCAGGGCGGCGCGGACGCCGTGCTGGTGGATGGCTTCTGGGAGCGCTGCGACGAAGGCGTCAGAAGACGAAGGAGGAACGAAACAGTTCTGAATAGAGCTGTCTACTAGTAGCTGTTATAATATGAATATAGACGTTTTTCTTTTTGCTACTGTTTTTCGGGAAGGTCCGGAAAAAGCATTCCTTTTTCCTTGTTTCCTTTTTGTTATTTTTTGTATTATGTCTTTCTGTCTGTTCTTTCTTTCGTTCTTTCCTTCCTTTTGGGAAAAGCCTGGTGGCCCGCAGGCGACAAAGGCCCCGAGTTCTCTGGAGGGTCTGGGAGTTCTCACCAATCACAAGGTTTCGAAAGACCGGGAAGAGGCTGTGAACGGAGCATTTGGCTGCGAAAATGAGCCCAAGAAAGAGCGACCAGCACACAGACACACAGACACACATGTCAGTCTTCGATTTGATCAGCCTCCGATCCTGGAATGTTGGAGCCGCCTTTGGTGCCCCATGATACATGTGCTTTCTTGTCCAGCCTCCGGCCTCCTGGCTTCCTTCACTTCTGAGGGGGGGGTTCTTTGGGCTCGCCTCACAGCTTGTTTTTGCCATGGAGGTTCTTGAACTTGGCTCACGGTTCACTTCTTGAGGGTTTTGTTGGGTTTAAGGAATAGTACGTTTAGGAGTTCTTTTCAGTTTGGCTGCAGATGTCACTTCCGGTTCTCATCCGCGCCCTTTGTGTGTCCCGCGGAGGCGGATCCCACCGTAAAGGTTTGTCGCGGCGGCTCAGCAGCAGCATGCAGGACCGCGAGGTCCGAGTGGAAAGGCAAAGAATGGCCTCCAACCTAATAGCGGTTTCAAACTTATATCAATGGCCTCCACCCTAGTAGCGATGGCCTCCACATGAAATAATAGTATCTCATGAAATGGTCCCTTCCACTGTGATGGAGTATGAAACTCTTCTCCACGTGCATTTCTACGAGCCGTTGGGGGGTTCTCCACTGCGCGGGTCCAGATGGGAAATGTCGAATTTGGGATCAAAAGATTGAAGTATACTTGCTAGCCACCCTGTGCCAGCCATCGAACCATAGACGATATAAACATGAAAGTAAACATGAAGTATCCCACAATCATTCATGCGATGCACTTGCCCTTGGAGGCGGAAAGCCTCTTTGATTCCTTTCCCGATGCTCGCAAGGACGTGGTGAACCAGCGTGAGAGCTACCGAGCCACCAAGGTAGAACCCGAGCCGACACTGGGGAAAGAGGGGGAAGGCTTTTGTGCACACCATGTGTTTAAACGACATGTTCTTCAGGGCTTTTCCTTCAGGGCCATCTGCCCATACCTTTCGCCCGAACGTCGGCCCCGCCGTGACGGCGCGTGCGCCCGTGTGCCTAGTCGTCCTGGCCGCAGGCATCGAGGCCGGCCAGCTGCTTCGAAGGGCTCTTCAAGCATCAAGATCCAGCCACTTGGTGAAAGCGGAGGAAGTGCCAGGTGCCTTGAAGTTCAGGGCAAAGTGGGTGTCGACCGATCACTGGGGAGGAATGATACTTCAGTTGTTGATCATTTACACGAGGTAGTGTGCTTGATCCCTCATCTACCTGGCGGTCAAAAGCTCGATTTTTTTTTTCTTAAACGTTGTGTGACCTGATGGCGAAGCTTTAAGGGAGGAGGACTCCACAAACCCTAGAAGTCCAGTGAGGGAGGGAGTGAGTGAGTGAGTGAACGACTACTTTGGGCACCATCCAGGACCATCTTCAGCACTTTCGGGCCACTTCTTCGAACGGTGCGACTCGGGGTTCAGCCTGATGGGCCAGGATTGCTCCTGGTGGGCTCAGGAAATCAAGAAGTCGTTCTTGGCGCAGGTCCGGTGGGGTTCTAGATTATGAACCAAAGACAGTTGAGGCGATCATGTTCCTGCGCCCAAAAAAAGAACATTGGAAGAACTAGCATTGGTTTGTAGGTGGCTTCAGTGCTTCAAGAATTTATACACCTAGTGATACACATATGATTGGTCCATATTTGCCCTAAGGGGTGACTAATAGACACCCAACCACCACCAATTGGCACCCCCTGCTTGGTCCATCTTTCTCCGCACCCAAATATAAGGCCAAGGGCTTTGCCGAACGCCGAACGCCGCACCGCACCGAGCGTCCGAGGTCAAGAAGGTCGACGTGCTGTTGGTCGGAGGCACAGAACGCACCCGACAGAGGGGGTTGAGTGGGAGATCGGGGTGGAGGACACGGACCGAGCAGACATGGTGAGTGGACAGGGTGAAGCAGATGTTCCTCTACACACAGAGCATCACAGAGCTCTGAGTGCACTCCATTTTTGGGAGCAAGAGTAGCAGTTCCTCGGCTTACCTGAGGTCAAGTGCTCCAGATGGCACCAGTTTCCAGCCCAGCACTTGGACACTTCGTCGATCCTCATTGTGCAGTGAAAATCCACACCAACAACCGCCAAAGCCCCCCCCTTTTCCTGCAGGGGTCTGTGTGGCTTTCGTATGCATTTCGTACCTCCTCGATGCGGGGAGAACTTCTCTGCCCCGGGGGTAAGGCTCCCAACGTGGACACGTTGGGCCACTTCGGTCCAAGGAACCCACCGCACCACGGTCCGGAACTGCGGCGTCACCCTTCGTCCGAGTCCGGAACTGCGGCATCACCATGAAGATCAGACCGGGTTTGTATGTGTGTTTGGCAAGGTATCTACACACACCCATAGGCGACTGGTTTATTTAAATAGGTGACTGGACGAGCACCCGGGAAGGACACCGGTCCCCCCAAGGTCCTTCCGCTCCTCGGGATCGAACAACGAGAACCGACGCCAGGCGGTATCATGAGTGCGACGCTGGCGCTGTTGCTGAAACAGCTGGAGCCCGACTGGAAGATCGCGCCTGGGTTTTCGTGAAGAGTCGTCGACTAGTGAGAGGTGTTCGCGGGCGGTTTTCGGCCGCGCGCTCAAAGGGAACGAGTCCGCGACAAGGGTTTCATGGCTAGGAACCCGTATCTGTTTTTCCCTACAATCTACTTCTTCAAATAAACAGAAACAGGGGTTAAAGAGGGATGGAATCGACAGGAAAGAGAAAAGAGATGTTGCAGGATCGGTGTGTGCAAGAAATGCCTGTCGAAGTGAGGTGTGTGAAAGAAGTGTGTGTGTGTGTGTAAAGGTGTGGTGTGTAAAAGTGGTGTGGGTGAAAGAGTGGTGTGGGACAGGAGTTATGTAAAAGTGCTGTGTGTATCAGTGTTGTGTGGAAAAGTGTCGTGTGTACACGTGTTGTGTGCAAGCATTGCGTGGCCAGTCAGAGTAAAACCCCATTGGACTGACATGTTGAAACAGGATGAGGATCCGGATCACATGACATGTTGGAAGTGTGGAGACGCTTTCACTTGCCGAGAAGAAACAAACAGATCCGAGCCCAACTCCCAACTGTTTCTTGCGAATGCAGCAGCCTCCCAGAACGCACTCACAGCGGTCACCTCTTCAGATCTTTCACCGTTTTCTTCGACCTGCGGTGGTAAAGCAGAAAAGGACAGCTAAGCAGTGGCAAGCACTTGGAAGTCTGGCCTTCTCGAACCCATTCAGCAGCACACTACACCGATGAGATCTTGAAATGCGATGCATGAACATGTCCAACATTGATAAGTGAGATGTGTTTTTGGAGTTTGAGATCTTGAGTTGACACGGACAAGTAATGTCTCTCAGCTTTGCTTTACGAATCTTATATAAGGTATACAAAGTTTGTTGACCAAGGTGCCAGCCACCCAAAGAGGCCAAGGTGTCGGCCGATTGCGGTGGTGGATATGACGCATCATCCGTTACTGCCGACACCGGTTGTGCTTCTGTGATTGTGATCTTCTGTGTGTATTTCGGTGTGTCTGCCAAGTCAGTCTGTTTTTGCCCTTCGTCGTGCTTGGTCGTTGGCCTGCTCCTGCTTGAGAGATGTTCAGTCCTTCGCAGCTGGGCTGGCAGCTGTGAGGAGCAGCTCCTGCGAGCGCGAGCAGGATGCTTGAAAGGCGCGACACTAGGCCCTAGGCTCCTCAACCAACTGAGAAAAGGTGACATGTGTGTATATTCAGCCCTCTTTTACCTTTCAGTGAAGTTCAAGTCGATCATTTGCAGCAAAGCAGATCCAGATGGTGCGTTGTCGGTTGGGGTGCACCTTCAGAGAGATCAGATTGCTGGACATGTTGACCCGCTCTCTGAAGGAGGGGGTAGGAAGCTAGTAGTAACAAGTGCATCGCTTCTAGTAACAAGTGCCTTGCTAGTAGTAACAAGTGCCACGCTATTAGAAACAAGTGCCTTACTACTAGTAACAAGAAGAATTTCATTAGAATTGTAATTACTAGCAAAGGAATCTACGAGCTAGTAGTAACAAGTGCTGGCCCACTTGTACATTGGCATTTCACCATGTCAAGACCTTTCGACTGCGGGAAGTGGCTCAGGCCTGCAAGAAGAGGTCATTGGCAACCATTGGTGGAAACCATTGCCACGGGTGTGGATGCTGAAGCGCAATCCAAATGGAAGTCCCATCACCAAGAAAGAGACCAATTGAGTATGACTGTCCTCACCCGCCGGGATTTGGAAACTTCAGCCAAGCAAGGCAGGCTCTTGCAACCAGATTTTTCTGTTGCAATTCCTTTGAAGCCGCACACCTCTACTCAGAAGACGATGTTCCACAACCTGGGCGTGGCATGTTGAGACTTCAATGGACTCAAGGAGCTTGTTGCTTCTTGAGCAAGCGCTTCCGTTTAGCCCTGTCACATTGTCATTTAGCCCCTTCCGTTCAATAGTCCCTTCACATCAGCAGCGAGCGGTCTCCTTGCCAGCATCTCTTGTTTGGTCAGGAATTGTGCCATTGCAGTTGAGCCAACCCGTGGGCACGGTACATCAGAGTTTCACCATGTCAGGACTGCCATTGAAGCAATGGATTTGAAGACATTGCTGTTTTTGTTGGGTGAATTTCACCAGCTCCCACGTGAGCCAACAGTTTAGAAGCAAGCCTGCAGCACATCATGCTTAACTCAAGATCAGTTTGGACATTTTTGCAGCAATACTGGAGGAAGTCAACCTGTTCGTGCCTAGATGGAAAGAAAGCTATGTGTGAGAGAGTTGCGTGTGAACAAAGCGCGCCACCAAAGCCTGCCCAGTGCCGCAAGCGCCACGCCGTCCACACAAAGTGATGGTCGCTGGCAGCCTGCCACGCAAAATGCCACGGGAGTCCTGGGAGAAAGTTGTGGTGTTTGAGTTGATCGTGAATAAGTTGTGTGTGTGAGAGAGAGTTGTGTGCGCAAGAGTTGTGTGTGAGAAAGTTGTGTGTGAGAAACTTGGGTGTGAGAGAGTTGTTTGTGAGAGAGTTGTTTGTGAGTAAGTTGTGTTGTGTGAGTTGATTGGGAGTCCGTTTGTGTGTGACGACCTTGTGGAGGCGGGAGGAGAAGGAGGCGGACGGGAGTTGACCACCAAAAACCCCACAGAAAGATGTGAACAAGAAACTGTACATCCCAGACGTAAAAGAACAAACTTGTCTTTTGTTTGTGCTTTCATCTTTGTCTTTGGTTCTCATTCTGTTCAAACTGTACCCTTTTACAAGTTCAGTTGAAAGACACCAAAATTCGCTCCGACCTTCGACCGACGGCGTCGAGGTGATGATCGAGCGCTTGGCAGAGGTGGCACAGGACGGAGACTATCGGCAAGCAAGGCAAGATGTTTGAGATTGCCGTGGAAAAGGATGTTGTGTTTTTCATTTTTTCGTTTTTTTGTATGGCCCGCCCTTAATTATGTAAGGGCTTACTTTATATACTGAAGCCAGGGAGTGGTTCGAAACTAGCTGCTTCAGTTTCTAGTAACTGGACGCAGGATAGCTCACGCTCGCGCCAATGATTTGGTTCCTATACCCTAGAAGTCCAAAGACTATATTTTGACCGACTGAAGTAAAGGAAATTCCTTTTCGGGTCACCTAAAGACCATTATTTTTATAGTCTTTGACTCCCAGGGTATATGTTTGGGGAAATTAATGGTGAGCTTGCAGAGACTCGGAAGATCTTTCTCGCTTACTGTTTTCTGTGTTTTTGTGAGGCAAAACTGTGTGGATAAACAGGGTGAGCATGTCTCTTCAAGACCTTCATGTTGGAATCGACTCTGACTTCACAGTCGAACAAAACATGTTTTTGTTAAGACATTTTATCTTCCTTACACAATTGTTTGCCCTTGCGTTTCTTCTTTAATTAGACCTGTTTCCATTATTGTTCCCGAGAGCGCCTGCGAAGGGTTCTTCGTAAAAAAACATCTGCAGAACTACGTCTCATACATCTTCACCTCTGCACATCCACATTCTCACCTATATCTCTGCTCATCTTCACATCTGCACATCTACATCTCTGCTCATCTTCATCATCTTCACACATCTACGTCTCTGCTCATCTTCACATCTGCACATCTACATCTCTGCTCATCTTCACATCCTCACATCTACAGCTCACATCTTCACCTCTCGCTCTTCTTAACTTTCTCTCTTAAGGCCGAAGGCAGTGCCGCCGGACCGCCACAAAACGCAACCCTCTGCGGGGATCGTGCGTGTCGAGTGCGCGAAATGCAGGCGAGAGTGCGTTTTGGATTGGTCGCGCTCCACTTTTGGAGGAAGTCTCGCACGCAACGCTCGTTGTGGAGACTTGGCGCTGCACTTTTGGAGGAAGTCTCGTAGGAAACGCTGGTTTTGGAGACTTGGTGCTTCATTTGTGGAGGAAGTCTCGTACGAAACGCCGCAGATCTACCTCTCTACCCCCACACACCCACACATCGGCGTAGCTATATCGCACCTGCGCATCCACAGAGCCACTCCTTCACATCCGCCCTCTCCTTCTTTCTTTCCGAGCTGGAAGATGAGAACTGGCGACTTTGTAGTACAACTTTAGTGCGCGGAGCAATCTGTGGAGCTGGAAGCTGAGAACTGGCGACTTTGTAGTAC